CAGATCGAAATTTAGCACCGAAATTTGGCTCGATAATTTTAATGCATCTTAATAAAAATTGAACAATATTAGAAGTGTAGCACGTAAACAATATTTACGAATATAACAGTCACTGAGTACTGTTATAAATATTAAAATATACTATACTTTACACATTTTTAATTCTTTAGTCAAGAAATTTATAATAAAAATATTAGAAACTTAAAGATACTTGGAGATTCTTATTAGATTAAAAGAGACTTAATCGATAGAAACGTTTGACATTTCTTTTCTTTAAGCAAAAGGCCAAAAAGTGGTGGTTCGGTCAGCTCGGTGGGTACTGGATATCGCGAGAAATCACCAGTTCCCTCGGCTTTGAGTCCTACTCCGCAAGTTCTAGGCGCTAACGTTCTTCAGGACGGCTTGGAAGGCCCACGGAATCGGCGTCACGATATTGACGACGAGAATGATAATGTCGACAGCCGTAACGAAATCGATAATCCCGTCTTCGGAGAAACCAATGAAAGCTCGTATAGTGCTACAATCAAAAGTATGTTTCTATAGGTAGCAGAAATCAAGCAGTGCTGCACATGCTTTCTATTCTTCATGCTCAGCATAATTTAACTCGACATACTTTACTTTGATTCTCTAACTTCACATATTTCTCTTTTTATACATCTATTAATTAGTTGCTAAAAATATATCTCGATACAAATTGAAATAAAATTTTTTCTTTATTATTTTTTTTCTTTCCTGAGCAATTTGGAATTACAAAGCTTTAGTAAAATTACAATCCTGCTTTTAAAGATTTATGACATTAAAATGTTATTCGGTTACGTTTTTTATCAGGTATAGCATCGGCAAGACAATTACCACTGTACTCCCGACATAAAGTGGCACCCGCTCCAAATCCGCCAGCTTTATCAGCAACTTCAAACATACCCAATATCGGTGGACTTGTGCAGAATATGAATGATTTGAGTGCTAGAACCAATCTAGATACTGGATCTCACGACTCTTCCAATTATTCCGGAGATCCTCCAGACTCTCTAGTGCCAGCATGGCCTACTAGTTCAGCTTTGCCGAGAATCAAAAAGTTATCCTGGGACGACGATGATAGAGTAATTATTTTACAATAAATTTATTTACATAATCCAGCAAATAAATAAATCTATAATATAGATATTTTATCTAAATTCTATATTAAATAGAGCAAATATAGAAAAGGATTTTGTAATATTTCATGAATTTTGGTTTTTTACAATCAGAGGTGTTTTAGAACCACCGCAAACTCTTAAAAGAATTTAATTTAAATGATTTAAGCAATTGGAATTGTGTTCAAATTGTAATATACTTAAGTATGTTAAATTGTAATCGAACAATTTAAATAGTGAATAACGTCTCTCATCACGATATATTAACTGTTTCCTAAAGCGTACAATTGCATTGACTTGTGTGTGCAAGAGAAATAATTAAATCCAAGTTCGCTTACAAACTTCATGCAATCCTAAAGAGCAGATAGATGATCACAATAGAAACAGAAGTATTTATCGTTTTTCAGACTGTGGATAGCGTCGAGGTCGCGGCGGAAACGCGAACCGGAGACAATCAAGTTGGCAACGAGAGACTCAATCTCACTGTGTACTTCTAACGATCCATTATTTTGTAAATGGGACGAATAACGACGGCGGAAGAATGTTGTAAGCGCTGTTTGGCCAGTTCAGTTAAATAAAGTCTCGTTGATGTCGAAATTCTTTGAATGAACTTCAAAGCATCGCAATGCGATGCGACCTTACCCGCGTATTCGGTCCACAGAGTATCTGTGCTATCTGCGCAGCATAGCGTCATCAATTCGCATTATCCTGAATGAATTATGTCCATTATTTGCGTGATGCAAGATTGATCTCTGATATTATACGAAGTAATTATTGAAAATAGTTACAAATTGGACAATGTTGGAGAAAATGTTACACACAGCATAACACATTTTTTATGTTAAAATGAAAAGATGAAAAGAAATAGCGAATTGGAATATGATATAATTCTGACATTCCTATAAATCTAAGTTTGAAGATCCTGTAAATTATTAACACGTAAAAAGAAATAATAAAAAATTTTTTTATAATTATATTATTAATTACAAGATTTACATTACAAGAAATATTATAAATAGTTCCGGCATACTTTTAATTGCCTTGTTAATAAAATCAATAAATTATCGATAATTTGACTTTTATACATGAAATATTATTCTAATAATGTTTATTACTTTAAATTGTGTCAGATTTCTAAAACACTAATCTTTTATTTAAACAAAATTATTTAAAGAAATATTTAAATTTGATATACATGCCACAAGGATGAAAGTTTAATGCATACGAACATAAATATAAATTACAAGTTGAATCGCGTTATCACGAGAAAGTATAATAGCTGGTCGCTCGGGTCTGTTATTAAGAGGTAGATGAAGTTTCTGTGTTTGCACTTTGTTGAAACCACCGATATTCGAATGTACTGAGGAAACCGTGTCAGTAGGTTGATCTTCGCAAGTAATTACACAACAAGTAAATGAACAAACATTTGCGGAATTTGAAATTCATGGAAACACAACTTTCATTGAAGATAACAAAATACAACATTAGGCTAAAATTACTGAAGAGCTATATTTTTTTTAAATAAAATCGCCATAAAGACATTTTTCAAGAAATAGAATTCTATTGTCTTTAACATTTTATTTCTTTGCTATAAGCATCCTTTAATTATTCTTTGTAACATAAAAATCAATATCTGCAATAATCAAGAGAAATAGTTTTATATAAAAAATTTGTATAATTTGTATTCTATAATTATTAGATATAAAAAGTCCAAAAATTATGAAAGTCTGACTAATTTTAATGATTAATCTATTATGACAAAATCATTTTATATTTATTAGCATCTCTATTATTAAAGATAAATATGATCAAATTACTCTTATATTCTTCATTATAATATTCTCGTAATACTACTATAAAATTTATATTTTCTTCTCTCTCTTACGCTTCAGTAAAACTATTATTATAATCAGTAACTTATCAAATTCCATCTGAGGTAGACTCGTTGAAGAAAGTGACTTGGCTTCTAAGGTGGGGAGAAAGTGACCTAGAGAGGTCTGGGCTACGACATCGTCCTCGAATCTTTTCTTCTCAGTCTTCCGTGACGTATGATTGGGTGTGGAATATACAAGTGGTATTAAGAAGAAAATATCTCGTGAGAATTTAATTATTCCAAACAAATCACATAAATAAAGGTATTTACATTTTCAATTCATAAATTCCACGGTTGCTTTTGTAAAAAATATTGTATATAAGAAACCTATAAAAAAATTTATTCGTTTTATTCAAAATATCTTGTGCTGACTTTTTACATAAGAGTTTCAAAAATTGTAAAAATGTATGTTTTAATAATACATACTTTTCGCTAAAGAAATAAAAAATTTAATTAGTTTATTAAATTTTAATCTAAGTTAATTTAATAATCACATCTAAATTAATATTAAGTTAATTAATTCATGTTTTAATGTATCAAATTTATTGCTTTGCTTTAATTTCTCTCTTTCAATATTACATATTGATTTATATATAATTTCTATATATTTAAACTATATATTTAATTTAAACAAACGATATGTTGGATATTGTAGCAGCATTGTAGCTGTAAACGAACAATTTTTAACGTACATGTATATACACTATTAGAATTTCAAGGTTAAATGTTACCTGTTAATTCTGTAAATGAGGTTGATAAAAGAGAATTCTATTACATTCCAATTCGTTAGCGTTTCCGATTCATTGTATCAACTTCCTTAATTTCATGCATTGCACAATTACTATTATGAAATCAACAAAACATACCGAAACATTCATGTTTCTAAAAAGAAATTTTTCTAAATAAATATATCATAAAATATTTATATACATAAATTTATTTAAAATATATTATGCTAATGAAATATCATAATATTATTTTGTAAACCAATAGCTTTAATAATAAAAATTAATTAGAATCAAATAATAAGTAAAACATGAAAACTAATGTTTTTCTTTGTAAAAATTATTGCAATTTTAATTGTGAATAGAATTTATTTTTATAACATGATATTTTTAATTTTAAAATACCTTGTTTTTCACTTAGTACAATATCATAGTATTCAAATTTTGTTGAAAAAACAAATACTTATATTCTCAAATATATATATTCTCTTATCTAAAAATAACTTTTCTTTAATATTACATCGTTACGTCACATATGAGAGTACAATGAACTTTTCCAACATACTTGCATTCGGGTATTTCCTATTTCAACATGCTGCTGTAAACTTTCCTGGAGAAAGTCAGACACACAACATTGATACAAGTAAAAAACGGATCATCTTTATTCCGTTTACTTTACATTTCGTAGAAGATTGAACACCGGCCTTTCAGTTCCTGCATCCAAGATCTCGTTTGCGGTATATTTCTTCTTTGGTCTCAAAATCATGACGACGAGAAAGATAACGGAGCAACTATATTCTTCAATTATACTTGTCACGTTGATAGCAATTTTCAATGTGGTATCTGGTACGTATTATGATTTACAAATACAACTTTTTAACAATTTATATTAAAAAATCATATATAAATTTAAAGTTATCTCACTATAATTACTAAAATATAAAAAAATTAACAATAACGACTTAAAAATGAACAAAAAATGTATACTCTATTAATAATTTATTTTTTTAATGTCATCTATAATTATAATTGTTAGTTATATTATTATACTATTATATTTTTTATTATTAAATTATTAAAAATACAATAAGACATATAAATTTTTAATCCAGTTATGCGATTAGATCTTCCAATACATTCAATATAATTTTATTTGCTGTGCTATCATCATCTCCAGCGAATTTAATTGCTGTTACGCCGAATCATGGTCCGTGGACAGAAATTCTCGAAAATTGGATCACCCTTCCAAAGGATCAGTTCAACAATTCTCGTACCGCACGAGTAATGAAGATTGATGATAAGATTTTGACAGTGTCTAAAATCTCCACACAGAATAAAAGAGACGTTTCTGAAACTGATCTTTACCTACTTAGTATGATTTATGAGATACTTAAAACAAATTCAAAAAAAGAAATTAATTTAATAATTTTAATTTTTAATATAGCTTATAAATAATTGCAATAATTACATAATTGAAGGAAAAACATTTTATAATAATAAGAATTATTTAAAATAACGTAATAAAAAAGTATTATTTAAATTAAAAGAATGTGTGTGTGAGATTTAGGAATTTTATAAATGGAAATTTACAGGTGCTATTGAAAAATTGGTGTATAGAGTAGATTATTTAGAAAAAAGAGTAAGAAGAGCAGAAGAATTATTGTACTACCTTATAAATGGAAACAATAAAATGAAAGGTAAAACTTTTTTGATACAAAAGAAAATTATTTCGATGTATATATATGTATAATCAAGACACATCTTTCTATAACAACTAAAATAAATTAATTGTTATAAGAAAAGAAAAAAAAATTATTATTTACGAGTTTAATCTGTATATCGTTTATTGTTTCATCGTTTTTTAGAACCTTGTCCTACTAATTACACGAGAATGGGCCAAAATTGTTATCACTTCAGTAATCGTGATTTCGACTGGAAATCATCGAGTAGTCTTTGCCGTGGTATGGGTGGATACTTGGTCGAATTCAACACTGTCGAAGAAAACCAAGATGTATTCGCGGGTATAATATCAAATTCCAAACTGAAGGGCAGTAATTTCTGGACAGGTGGCATAAATCCAGGGCTTTTATGGGTTTGGTTCAACAGTGGTAGACCGGTTCAACAAGACACCAAACAGACCGTCATCGGTAACGGCAAGTTAGTATCACCCTTAAATAAAATATTTTTACATAGATATATAGAAAATTAATGACGTACATATATTAAAGTTTTTACGTAGCACCGATAATTAATACTCAACATCAAATATTTGCATTATAAACTATTTTAAATTGTAGATGCTTGAAGATAATTTTCAACGCATCGTCGAAACTTTATTCATACAGAGGTGAAGAATGCGGTTCAAGGCAAAAATATATCTGCGAATTAACGGTCGATGAATCAGCAAACAGGATCGAAAGAACAGCACGATTATTAATTGATAAAAGTGATTAGGCGCATTTTAACTGATAAAAATAACTTAATAAATACGAAAAAATATATTTAAACATATATTTTAATAATTTATATTATAAATTTTTTTTATTAAAAAATACAATTGCTTTTTTAATAAAAATAGTACAATAAATTTGTAGATTCTTCTTGATAACGTTTCAACTAATTTTACGTATGTTTAAATAAATTTAATATAATTTCACACACACACACACTAAATTATATTAACATTTATAATATCTTCATTGTTATGAAAATTAATTATATATTAAAAATATTAATGATATGTGTGTTAATCCAATGTATTATAATACATAACAAACTGAAGTTTTACGATTTTAAATTTTCAATTACATATTTTTTCATTTCAGTATCACTGTATCATTATAAAAATTATAATTAAAATAAATTTCTTTTATGTGTGTTTTGTTATCTTCATTCCTCGTAAAAATTAAAATGATTAGATGAGAGTTAAACAGAATCTTTTCAATAATCGTAGAATTAATAATAATGCATAAATAAAAAGAGGTAAAAATTAATAAAATTTTTACGTATTTTTCTCTCAAACCTATTTTAAGTGAAACTTTTAGATTTTTTGACAAAAAATAATCATTATCTTTTTTAAGAAATACATACTTTTACATAATATGAAGTTTTGTTTGATTTATAAATTTTGCGGCTTGATGCGCCATCACCAGACTGTGCTTGCCATCGTTCACCAAAGACAGAATACGGTCAGACCGCTCTACTAGAGCGCCATTTTCAATATATGTTGTAGTCGTTTCGCTATCGGGTTTTACACTACGACAGCAATCTTCAATCACAGCTACGGGATAACCCAACCGCAAGCAATCCAAACATGTCTGCTTTACACATATATCATACGCGATGCCGCAGGCGTATAAGTGCGTAGCGCCAACGGCCGACAAAATTCTTTTAAGTTTCAAGGAACCTTCCGCATCTTCGAATGCTGAATATGATTCTTTGTCTGGGTCCTGACCTTTATGTACCTTGAGTATAAAAAGAGGAAAATATTCCGATTAATTAAGTATACCAGAGATTTCTTGGTATTAGATATACATCATTTCAACAATAAAATAATTAATTTATAAACAAAATATTTAAAGAAATGTAAAAATTCATGTCATCTCAAATAACAATTCATAAATATAAAAGAAAAAAAAAACTGCCAGAAGTTTACGTAATAAGGATATATCTATTCAATTGCTTTACATGTAATATCAGTTACTATGCAGTTTTAAAGAATTAAACTAATTACAGAATCTTTAATCAAATCTATACATATATATGTTCTCCACAGTATCTCTATCATATCTCTTTTATATAAAATTGAGCTATTACCCGTTCAGAAGAAGGTATTATTAGTAGATCTTTATGCAATTCAGCGCCCCAGGTGTTCTTAACACAGTGTTTTGGCCAAAGTATTTGCGTTATATGAGGTTGCAAAAAAACGACGGTGTCGAAGGGTTTTGCCGTTTCCTTAGTGATCTATTTCACATTATAAGATTATCTTACATTTATTTCAAATTATAGAATTACAGAATAAATCTATCTTTAAGATTTATGATTTAAATGCATAAAAAAGGCACCAAAAAAGAAACTCAAATATGTTAAGGAAAAATGAAAAAGTAATCTAAAAGGACATATGTTCAAGAATTTTTAAGACATCTCTATTTACATATTATATACATGTACCAATAACTAAAACGTTTTGTATAAATTTATATAATATATAAAAAAGTGGCAACAAATAATATGTAAAGAAAAAGAATAAGATTAGACAATTAAAATTTATTTTATCATTTATTTATTCGAGTTATTTTACTAAACTATTTTATTATCAGACAAGCATGCATGTTTAAATACTTCAGATTTTGGGTGAAGTTCGCGCATCGCCAAATTTTCAAAGAAGCTGATGTGATTCTCGGGATGCCAATCCTGTGTATATATCACTTTGTCCCAGCGACCCTCTTTCAAAAGCCGATTTATCGGTTGCACCACTTCCAACCCGTCCTGCCCAAAGCCGCATTTTCGAAGTGCCAGCGTGCCATCGATGAAATCATTCTGTACATCGACGACGAGCAAAACATTGACGGGATTTACAATCGCATGTATCCAATTACAGCAGCTGAAAGAAGAATTTGTTTATTGTAAAAAATAAATCCAAACTTTATTTATTTCGAAGTAATTTGCTTTTAACCCATTATTCACACCAATAGAAATGCGAATAAAAATTCTCTTTTTATTTGTAAAAATTCAATAAATGGTTTAGAAAATTATTTTACATTAATTTATACATACATGTATAATATGGAGAAATAAGCAGAGCTTAAAGAACAAAATAAGGTATACAAAACATGTGTGAAACCTATAATAATGGCCTACGCCATCGAAACAAGAATAAAAACAACTACCACCAAACATCTTAATTAAATCTGTAATTCCTTTATTATTTTGTTGTTTTTACGCTTAACCGTCCAAATTGAAATATATTTAATATTGATAATGACCCACGCGATCGGAATCGAAACGTCTGTATGTATGTAACTATATCTATATTGTCATTTTTATTTTTATTCGCAAAAAAATATAAACTATCACAAAACTATTAAGTTTGGAAAATGACTCATTAAGTTATAATAAATTAAAGAGTAAATTATAACAAAAATGACAGGTAATATAACCCGTGTGAAGCTGGCCCCCCAATATTAAAAAATCGATTTTTTTCTTCATGCATTCGTTTGCTCATCGTTTGCTCACGAATGCTCAGTTGGAATTTTCGTTTGTTCACCCTTAGTTCAAAAGATTTGTGAGCAAACGATGAGCAAACGAATGCATGAAGAAAAAAATCGATTTTTTAATATGTAGGGGCCAGCTTCACACGGGTGGTAATATAAAGTCAGCCGCTGATTATCGTTAGCGAATATATTTTTTAATATTTCAACTTATGCATCTTGATGTCGTACGTTTCGACTCCAGTTTTGAGTCATCTTCAGCAACATTTTCAAGTAAGAAAGACAATCAAAATTTACGACTGGAATATCCATAGAATTATTCCAACGATAGCGACAGCAACAATTGTGAGGTAAGCTACATATTTAATTAGCTAGTAGTGATAAAAATTCAATAATTCCTGCGCCTTAACAATAAACAAGTTTATCACAAACATCATTCTGTCGAGTGATTATGAGTTATTAACAGATAAAATTAACGAGATAAGAGCAAAATTAATGTCGACCTGTGCTCTTGGTAGTCGACTTAATCATGTTGCTTACCAATAAACAACATACAAGGATAACGAAACACCTAAAGAGCATCCGGGTAAGAATTCAAATACGTCCTTATTTGAATACGTTAAAAAAAATAGTAAAACGTAGTTCCAATTTTTTGCAGCTGTAAATGTCAATTTACTTTAGACTTTAATTTATTAAGCGAATATTTATGATTTATTTCTTCTTCTCCTAATAAATCAATTAAATTCATAAATGTAAAACACAAGAAAAATAGTCAAAAAAATGTTGCATCTCTTTATATATAAATTATTTTTCTAGAATAACAAGACAGAATATAAAAAATTATTAACTATTACAAAATTAAATAATGCAATGTTATAAAATTCAATATCCTAGTAAAATACAAATGATATAACAAAAAAAATATAAAGAGATTCAACTATTTTAATATTTCCATCTGCACCTAATATTACAAAGGAAAAAAAAAGTAATGTCTTATTTTTTATTCTTTGTTTGCTGCTGTTTGGCCTTTTTCTGTAATTTAATCTCATTTTTATAAAGCCTCTTGATATAGAATGCACACCAAGTTCTCTCCACCGCGTATTTGCTCCAACAATTGTCTAATTCAATCTGGATTTAATTATGAATTATTTTTTTATCTTCAATTAAGAATTCATATTTTTACTCTGAACGTTTGTCAAGACTATGAAATATCACTGCGATAACGAACAAAAAATGTTACATTAAATTGTATTCTTTTCTAATTAAGAATTTTATATTTATCATTAAAACAATGAAATCTGTGTTACAAAAAAGTAATCGGTAAAGGGGATACAAAAATATAGAGAATTTTTGAATACACTAATTATTATTTTATATTTATATGTATCTCATAACCGATATATTTCAAACATATTGATAATGACTCGATTGGAATCAAAACGTTTGTTTTGTAATTAGTTTTGTTAAACGAATTTATTAAACTCTCGTAGCCCTTCTTCATTATTTATTTTTTCAGCTGAAAATTATATGTAGAATATAAAGTATTTTCTTTCTTCTTTTAATCATATGAAATTTAATCAATTTTTATAGAAGTTGCGCGCGCGCGCGCGCGCACATTACCTGTGTATTTCCTGATTGTCCAACACACCGTTCGCGTCTGCGTCAAATAGCTCAAAGACCTCTCGTACCCTCCACTCATCCTGCTCGACTTCGTACTCGCTGAACAATCGGACGCAGAGTGTTCGGAACTGCTCGTAGTCGAACGTTTTTTTAACATCAAATCCGGGCAATACTTTTATCAAAAACAACGAAGGATCGCCATTCTCTACAGGAAGCGCCATGTATGGTCTTAAAAAAAAACTTTTCGCGTATTTTTCCGGATGGAGAAATATTAAAGAATTCAATCTAATCACTAGGTTATCTGTCACAGGGTTCCTAGTTCAAAAAATACTACAGTCGTCTTACGTATGTCACGGTTGCGTTGTTCACGTCAGCATGACGATCGCACGACTGCCGCTTCGATTTTAACCGATTGTTATTTATTTTCCATCCGTATCCAAAGAGGAAATGTCCAATTGACCAATCAGAAAATAATCTAGCATTTGTGTTGTACAACATAGATCGCTATCGTCCTCAGCTAGTCGGGTTACAAGTCAGCTAGGTAGAAACGCGTATAAATACATCGATCAATACAACAGTTACTATGCCCACTGACATATATATGACACACATAGGCTATGAGAGGAAAATCTTTTTTTTCAGTAATTTTAGGGCTCTTATTTCTAATATAAATATAGGAATCGATCCATTTTACGTAAATATGCTTTGCAAAGCATTCTTTGATTAGTTAAATTGTAAGTTTTTTTTCTTGTGATTAGAGTTGACAAAACATTTTGCGCGCGCAGTATTTAAGTGTATCACACGCATAATTAGTGTGGAAATAGCTTCATTATTTTTCACGATAATAATCTTAAATTTTAATGTGCATTGATTTTAAATCACACTCTGATAGATTAATGACAAAACTGCAGATTCCCCCCTCCCCTAACATTGGCGAAACTTGTCAAACAAATAATATTTTAAATAAAATCATGTCACGAGTTTCAAAGTATAATCTGTAATGTTATTATAATCGCTAATAATTTCGAATTTAAAATTTATACATTTTACAAATTCTAATTACACTTACCTACATACCACATATATTTATCTCTGCAAGTATATAGAAGTCGATACAAAATTAATATTTGTATATAATATAAAATATCAATGAAAGTACTGCTTTTGCTGAGTTATACAATATTAACTAACATAAATACACATATATGAAGAATATTTTAATTTTTAATAATGTATTGCTTTTCCGAAGCATTTCTTTTCTTAAACAATTTATATGTAACAGTAACAGAAAAGTAACTGTTCTTCGCAACGCGACAATATGGTATAAGGTGTATGATAAAAATGTTTCCTTATCTATTGATAATTTTTTTTTGTTTAAAAATTATCTCTCAGGTACATTTAGATTATCAAGCTGTACTTCAAGTTGAACCTTGAGCTGAATTTCCAACCGAGCTTTTTTAATAAAAAACCGAATATTTTTAAAGGTTTCATTCAATAATGTGAATTATGTATGCTCGATTTACGAAATTCAATTCGAAATTCCGCTCGATAATTTTGACGCACCTTTATAATTACTACGTTTACACGGTTCGATTTACGCCGAAGTTATAACATCGATGTTATATAATAACTTCGACATAAAGCGTGCCGTGTAAACGTAGTAATAGACTGTCCTACCTTCATCCGGTCACGATAATATATACACATACGAGTTGTACATACATTATATAACTATTCGATTCGTTGATTTCAAATTTCACATTGTTTAAAATATAAATTATTTTAATTATAATTCTTTTAATATATATTTGAAAATTATACTGATTGTTCAATGACAGCATACATATAATTTTTTTATGTGTGTAGCATTCTGTTTAATACTAAAAATAAAAATATATACAAAAAAATTATCATAATTTATAGCTCCGTAATTTTAACTATGCTTGATTAATGACCAATGCTTTTGATTATAACTCGTATTTAATATTTGTACATAACGGAAAATTTACAACTTTGCCATAATTTTGTCATTAAACATTATGCAAAATGTATTATTCAGAATTCCATTTTTATGTATTGAAAATAATTATGTTAAATCAGAAATTATGTTTTCATAATAAATTGTCTTGTTGCAAGAGAAAAATGTTAAGAAACTCTTTTATTAGCAATGACTGCGTTTCTTTAAAAAATAAATCGGTATTAATATTTTTGCTCATCAAAATCTTATGAAAATACTTGTAACAGTACTATTATTAAATTGATTATGCAGAACTCTTAAAAAATCCAGAAACAGTCGAATATTTCAAAAACGAAGTATTTTTAAAACAAACGTTTCGATTGATTCGATTAATTTGACCTCGGATCAAACGGGTGGCGTCGCCAAAGTCAGATCAAGTCATGTTGATTTTTTTTTTAAATAGAAATCTTCATTTTTCTCTCTCTCATTACATATCCTTGTAGCTCACATTACGAACTTTTCAAAACACTACACACAATAAAATATTTTTTCATTAAGTATTTTTCGAGTTATAAAAGACTTGAAAGTTGCAAGATACTACCATCATTCATCACACATACATGTGTATGTTTTATAAAACACACATGTTTAGGACATAAATTTATGTTAAATAATATTGTATTTATAAATAATAAATTATTTATTTCGATCGCTAGCTTTATAACTGCATTGTTTTTACTGTTATATAGTTATTATCATTGTTAATTATTGTAAATCCTAATAATTTATATATAATTTTTAGAAATTTATAATTATTTACTATCGATACTACTAAGCAGATATACTACTATAAGTATATCTGCTCTCTCTCTCTCTCTCTCTCTTCGTGTTTCATATATCTGTACATTTATAATGTATGTCATATATAACAGATAACTTCAACGTATTTACGTGACTGTGAATGAATATTATTATGCAAGACAAGCACACGTACCCGTTATATACAACCAAAAAAAAAAAAAACACTAAGTGGTGCACGTACCAATACGAATGATGGACATCACGATCTATTAATCATGTTTTCATTTTTCATGCACGATTAAATTGTCGCATCATCGATATAATATGATATATTACTTTATGTAATACAAGTTCAATATTTAAGTCGTCAAAGTGATTGGAAAAAATTAAAAATATAAAAACATAAACATTAAATAAATAATTGTTTAAAGACAAATAATTTAAAATAAGAAATTCGCTCAGACCATAAAAAATTTGAATTGAAAACGTCTATTTTATATTAATTTGTTATAAAAAATATAAAAAAATAAATTATACATATTGTTTTGCTTGAGATGTATATTAAAACACACATTATACTTTTGAATAAAGTGAAGAATAAAAAAATAATTAATTACTTTAAAACAACACATAAGCAAATCGTCAACAAATTAATAGAACTGAACATATATGTATATATATACACCTTTAAAAAAATAAAATTATATATATCTATTTATTTTTGAAAGCAAAACTACTCATAAAAGTGCTAAAGTGTTTTGATAAAATATCTATATTTCTTCTAAACTAAACTTTCTTTATGAAATATTTAATATCTAAAAAATAATATTTGGTAATCGCTTTACTGCAACGAAAATTAACTGCAATGGATATAATTAAAATATGTGAAATATACACATACATATTTTACACTCTATATTTTAAATATGAGAAAATAATAACTATTAATTTGTTATCCAGAATAGGCACACGATGCAATTTTCGGCCGATTTTCGAATCAGCTCCGTCTTCCGCTGTACCCTTCACCTCACGCCCCGCGCGCAGTCCAAATGTCGCTCGACCGTCGTGCGGCATTTGGATTGTGCACAGAGCGGTAAGGTGAGGGGGACACCGCGCAGAAGGCGGAGTTGAAAATCGGCCGAAAATTGCATCGCCGAGCTCTAATCTAAAATGATATAAAAAAAATATGAAAAAAATACAAGATACATAAATAAAATTCTTATCTATGGTTAGTTCTATGCAACGAATGATCAAATAACTTAAGTAATCAATTTTACATATATATATAAGCTTGTTTTATATACTATCTATATCAAAACCTTATATATTAAAATTACATATAACACTAATAGCCATTATTTAATAGCGCGTGACATGGTAACGTTTAAAATATCATTTGAGCTATCTGAAAGCTTGTCCTTCCAGATTTGTCTTTAGATTATAACTTTTGCTATTTCGAGATATTTATATTGCGACATAATTGGTCTCTCTCTTCGGTTATGTCAATAGCAATTTTATTGATAACAGGATGTCTGATTTTGCCGTTAATCGCGACAAAGAATTCGTCCAGTTCTCCCGGAATGTTATCTCTTTTTTCGTATTCATATGCTTGCATCAACAAGTCTAGTCTATCCAAGTCTTTAACATATTGTGCTTCAGGAGATTCCTGCTTTTCATATTCCTAAAATATTTAAAAACAGATAAAACATTAATAAATATTAATAAACATTAATAGTATATTGCAAAATCAGAATAACACAAATATTCTTACACGAAATATTTGTAATATTTCAGGTCCCTTATCACCTAACAGCTTGCAAATATCTTCCATAGCTTCATCTTCCATTCTATGTTTTTCATCTGGTGGTATGCCACAATGAGGTGTTATGTCTCCCACAATACATTCAGCTAGGTCATGAATTAATGTCATCTGCATTATTCTGTAAATCAGAAAATATAGAATATAAATAATCAATATTAATAACAAACTTATATATGTATATCAATATCATATAATTAAATTATTTAATTTTATAGAGAAACTAATATAAAATTTCAAGTTATAAAAAAATATTATAATAATAATAAAGTCTCACTTGGTTTTGTCTAATTTTTCTTTTCCATCTACTAGAAATGATAACATTGCCATACGGTACATGTGTCCAGCGATTGTTTCAGGATCAGATATATTTCGTTTTACCCATCCCATCCTTTTCATATGCTGAAAAATATTCTTAAATAAATTTTTTTAATCTATATGATAGATCTATATTAAATCTATATTACATTACTTAGATGTGTTTCTTTCTTTCAAGAAAATGTCTCTTAAAAAGATAATATAAAAAAGCATATATTGATTAGAAAATATTATATTATATATATAATTCTTATTTATCATTATCATAATTCTTTTGTTTGCAATAAAAATAATATAGAAGATGATACAGAGATTTCTCTTTCAATTTTATATTTTCTTAATTTTTATGCATTCTTTTATAACTTTATTATTTAAAAAAATTTTATTAAATAGTATATTTTTTAAATTAAAAAAAAAAGATTTTAAAGTCTTGCTTGTTTATATTGTAAACGTCATCTTAAAATTTGAAAATAAAATGAAACCTTACATCTAGGATGCATTTCAAAATTCACTATTAGTGCTAAAAATCTACAGTTTAAGTAATGTGTATATTATATATTCAGCATTGGCAGTAAAATTTGCAACTCAGCCTTAAGTAAAATATCAACAATCATGAATAATCAAACAAAGGCATTGCTGCAAGATTCAAGATTAAGGTGTTGATTCAGAAAATTATCTAATCTAATAATTCCATCCATTTGATTGCAAGGTATTTATCTAAACTAAATGCAATTTTAAACAAATGAAATTGTATTATAGTTAATTCACATTATCAAAATATTCATAAATCAGCACAACTTTGAGCATATAAATAAAATTTTTTTTAATAATATCCTATGAACGCTAATGAATTTTTTCATTTCTTTTCTGTTTCTAATTTTATGTTGCATATTTCTAATTCTAATTCCCAATTAAGCTCATAAGTAAAAAAAAAATGTTTTATTTAAAAGACTTTCAATGACATATAGAAATATATTTTCACCGTTAAAATAAAAAATATATAAATATCTTTCTTGATATTAATTTCCAACGTACAAAGAACAATGTCTGTTATACAAAACAATGAGTTACAAATTGCTTATTATCCTTACTTTGTTCAAAGGTCAAATATATATAGTTTCATATATCTATGAGGTTAAAAGTGTTACAAATTTCATATTTTGTATATACATATGTACATCTTATATTAAATATCAGCATATGTTTTCTCTGTTTTTTATTTCTACATACATCCTTATGTAAAGATTCAAATCAACAAGTAACATATCAAAATCAAAATATGAAATAATATTTCAAACATAATTCCTGACAATTAAAATTAACAGAAAAAAAGTTATACTTTTCTTATTGCAATAATTTTGACCAATATTCATAAGGCTTGTTTTCTGTGACTGAACAAGTGTAAGTACACTTTTAGAGCTTAAAGTGAAATATGCATATGTTTGATAGTTGTTGAAAATGAGAAAGAGAACTCTAATACAGTCCAGTGCAGGAACAGAAAAAAGACCAACAGTTAATTCTTATATATTTGACAACTGTTAAGTATAATCTCAAGATGTCATAAAACTCATAAGCCAATCCAAAAGTTATATTAGCATGTACAGATATTACTTAAGAGTCTTAAAATAAAAACCAGCTATGAATATTATTTAGAGAGCTGTATTAGTATCTTAAGATGTTACTCGAGACGAACTTAAAGTAAGAACAGACTACAAATATTGCTCTTCAAATCTTCATCAAGAACACCTCTAATCATGATTCTTTATAAACCAGTGTTGTATACAATCATGTTTAAAAAAAAAAGATCTCTAGGTCATAAATCAACATAGGCAAATGCTAGATGTCTTCTTACATAAGTATCTGTCTTTTCTCTTCTTTTTTTAAACTTACAATAGCATTCATCTTTCTCTCTTCTTTACAATATTTCTATTTCCGTGAAGAATTTCAAAAATAACTGTTCTTGCCAATGCTATTTTACATATTATTCTTTTGTCTATTGATTTGAGGTCACTTGGGAAACATAACGTAAACGTCATGATTTGACAACTGCGAGCATTTCCACATCATCTCAGAGCTTACCTTCAGCCGACCAACTAGCTCCATAAACTCCTGTAGTCTCTTTGTGTCTTGCATGGCGATCGGTTAAAATTCTCGTAACAGCTCTGTCACCGACAATCGTACCAAATCGTACCGCGTTGCTCTTAGATGAATTACACAGAGCTATGGCTATATCACTAACAACCAAGAAATGTCACAGAGCGAACGTGAACTGACAAAAAAATTAAGCGGGAACCGGGAAATGAACTGTGAACAGTCATCACGACAGCCAACCACGACATGATTATTTCTCTGGTTGACTTCTGGGTTACATTCTCGCCACCGTACTGGCTGCAATACTAGCATTGTCAGCACGGCAGCCAATACGATGGCAAGAATTTAATCTAGCAAGAAAACAAGCATTGTGTGTCGCCTGCTTTTGTCCACGATGCTAAAAATCGATCCGAGTCCCGAAGAAAGAAATCATTAACAAATCAAATCACATCACATTTGAGATCTTAGATTCATTTTTAGCATCGAGGATACAGGATTTTGAAATCTGGATCGAGAAAGTCAATCAACATGTAGTTTTTATTTAGAAAAACGGCAAATTGAGTGACTACACGATTCCCGATCCAAGAAATCAGACCAAATTATTGAATCCAGAAATGTGTAGCCAATCATCTTGCATTTCTGTAGAAACCATTTTTCCGTAGAAACTATACGTTTCTCGTTTTGACATCGGGAATCGGGCTGAGTTCTAGCAATGTGGAGTCGTGGAGACCGTGGTCACAGGACTTTGTAGACGCAGGGCTCAGGGCCGATTGTTCCATCTTTTGGTAAATTTTACCTGTCAGGCTGGACTCTGGAGTCACATTTGAGCGGAAATCTACAGCGGAACGGAACAGCGAGACCAATCACAATCGCAGAAAATAAAGCAGCGGAATGATTGTAGGATTCTGATTGGTTTCACTGTTCCGTTGTAATTTCCGCTCCATGTGACTTCAGCCTCAAGTAAGTAGCAAGATTACCCAATCACATGCGCGAATTACTCTAACAGGTATAAACTTTACCGAAAGATCGAACAATCGGCCCCATGGTTGTAAAGGTTGATTTATACTGGCCGTAAACTGTTAACTTATGCCGTAATCTGTAAAAATTGACCAATCACAGTCGAATGAGAGGGGAATAATCGATTATAATTGGTCAATTTTTACAGTTTACAGCATAAGTTAACAGATTACGGCCAGTATAATCCAACCTTAATACTTCCACCATGATCAGCCCTCAAAAATTGTAGTGCCTTGCTAGGCTGCGTTCCAAAACGCAACTTCGGTAACTGAAATCTATAGTTGACGTTATGTAAACTATAGCTTTTTAGCTATACCAAAGTTATGTTTTGAATGGTTTTGGAACGCAGACCTACAGCAGCCGTTTGCTGGAAAGTCGGAAGTCGAAAGTTGCACTCTAAACTCGAATCTCAGACGGAGAAATCTATAAAATTCGGGTATTCACCGTTATTTAGTAACATTCAAATGAAAAAACGTCATTGGTGCCTTGACGTCCTTTGATGTCACTATATACACATATTCTTTATACATATATATTGATTAAATGCTGAATATACCATAATAAAATTTTCAACGAAAGGATTATATTTCAGATTACGAATTATTCTTATTCAGTAAGTAATCTAATAAAATACTTAGGAAATTTAAGAAAAGGAAATGCTGTATCGTAACCCTGCAGTCCTGTTGATCCATTTCGCTAAATTGTGTTTTGCCTCAATGAAAATATAATTACAACCGATCGCATTAAAGTTCGCGTTAGATGATGGGAAAAATTAAATTAAATTCTTTGATGCATTATCAACACGTTAAAATTGCTGACATTCTGAAATTTCTCTTGGGAATCCCAATCTTTATAAGACGTTTTAACGCGATTCAGTTTCACAATATTGATCGTTATTTTTGGATTAGTATATACATACATATAAGAGCTGACAGCTGACAGAGGTGTAGTCATTCTAAGCAAGTATAAGGGTCTACGCACAATAGGAGAATTATTAGGAACAGATATTAAATATAAGAATTTTAACCTATCAGAATTGTGTACTGTGGAATGTGCGCTTTCTGACAGGTTAAAATTCTTATATTTAATATCTGTTCCTAATATTTCTCCTATTGTGCGTAGACCCTAAGAGATCAGTGAGGGATGTGAGCGCTTTATATAGTTATAGTTTATAATTAAAGCATGTAAATATATATATATGTAATGATTTTTATATAATACTACTAAATATTTCATATAAAAAATAATATCGAAAAAATACTAGAATTTAATATATATACATACAAGGTTAAGATTCATCAAGAATGATGTCATCCTTAAATTAGATAAATGGCGCATAGCAATATAAGTGTCATAATAGATTTCAAGTAGATGCAAAAAGATTTGTTAACAAGAACTTTTGAATGATATTTAACCGACAAATAATTTTGTAATCTAAATTTGTCAAATTATCAAGCATTATTTTAACAGAAAGATTAAAAAACATTACTTAATTGTTAATATAATTTTTTATTTAGCAAAAAAAGGTTACTATTATAACTGATTATAACATCTAAAAAATTTTGTGATTATAATGGCTGCAGAGAAAGAACAGGAAGACACAGACATACTTTGGGTAAGTTGACCTTTAATACATTATACGCAACATTATACTGAACTCAAAACTTTTTATGTTAAACTTAATTTAACAAATATTAATTAACTATATTCAGTTTATTTATTTCTATTGTTCTAAAAATACAATTTAAAACTTGAATTTAAATGACAATGAAAGAATTAATCACTTAATAATTTTTCTCAGTTTTACTACATACAAAAATGTTTGATATGTTGTTTAATGATACATTTGTGTTTTAGGAAGATATGACGACTTTTGCTATACAACAACAACAATGCTTATTTGAACTACTTCCCGACTGCATAATATATAAAGAGAACGAACATGAATATCTAAAACAAAATATTGGATATGCAATTTATGGTCCACCACAGAATACCGAAAGTACAAGTACAAAAGAAGATCACGTTTATTGTAAAACAGAAAATCTAAATGATACAGATGTAGTTGGGACAGTAGGTTACACAGAAGATGCACAAAAAGTCATAAATAAGATATATGATAAAATACGAACATCTTCAGTAAAAACTGATGACTCTGGGTCGATTTATTGTGGTGTAATTTATAATATGGTATTCCGTCCTAAAACAAAAAATGTGAAGTCCAAAAAAAAAGCAAAAGAAGAAACAAACAAAGATAAAAAAGATCTGCTTATCGTAATGCCTGTCCCTATTTTTACAATCAGGAATAAGAAAAAATATGAAACTGCAAAAAAGGCAAAACAAGAAAGTACATTAACTGTTGCTGAAGTACAGTATGAAACATTGTACATTGATGTCACTGGCAGAGTATATAAAAATTGGACAGACTATAAAGAAAATAATAATTTACCAGAGAGTACTATGGTTCTTCCAAAACATGGTTTTTATGAATCAGATCCACATTATCTTCCTACAGAAGATTATTCGACAGTTTGGTTAGAAATCCTGGAGTCTCCTTCATGTAAATGGAAGACAAAACTCTGCAAGGGAATAGATTTTGCTTCTACTGTCGTCGGATGTGGCACAATTGGTTTGAGTATTGCAGCGCTGTTTACACCTCTTGCACCAGTTGTTGCTATATCAGGTAAATTGTCCTCAGTTATTGCAAAATCAATTTATCATGTTAAATATTAATTGTATAAGTCATGATTTATTATTTTGTACCAGTTTATCTCAATATTATGTAATATATAAAAATATAAATGAGTATTGCACTTTACTTTATCACGTTTATTAGGTGTTGCTGCTGCTGGTGTGACTGGTGTTTGGTCATTGAGTCGGAATACCCATCAATTAGTAGACCGCAGTAGCCATGAAGAATCTATTCATGTCTTAGACAGAGAAGCATTTGGACATTACCTCAGCATGGCCAGTACTGCATTTGGTTTAGGAGCAATTGGAGGGACAGCTATTATTTCCAATGTTGCTGCACGTGGTATGTCAGTAAATACCTTAGCAAGAGTAGCATTTAATACCGTACAAGGTGGCAGTCTGATCTTGAGTGGTATTGGTATCATATATCAAGGTCACTTTATGTATGATAAGTATAAAAAGGATAAAACTGTCAGTGTCATAGATGCATTAAATTTGGCGACGCATCTTATGTTCTTTTACGGGTCAGTAGTTAAGGTTAAATTCGCCAGCGACATAATCGAGAGTACTCAGGGTAAAGTTATCAATGACTATAAGGAAACATTAAACACCAAACGTCTTCGTAAAAAATTCAATAAAATTGCAAGGCAAGCTGCCGAGAATAATACATGTAAAATATCCGAAAATGCCGAAGTGATACTTTATATAAAGCAACGTCAAGAGCTTTTGTCAAATAAGTTTGTAAGTACTACCGGCAGTGAACGGGTAGACAGTACTTCACCTAAAATTGTATGGTCTGTTGACCGTGGTAAATTAACAGTCAATGGTATGGTATTGTTAGATCCTATCGAATTTGTTACTCATCTTATAAAACTGGGCATATTTGTGGGAATCGACCAAAACGATTCATCTGGTCCACTAAATAATGCTAATGAATCTGTCGTTGAACAATTAATGAAAGTATTCTGTGATTTATTATCGAACTTCTATTTGAGCGATAACTGTCCTAAAAGTGAAAAACTACCGATAGTGCCTGACTTTGAACCTTTAATAAGGGAGATTAGCTCCATGCAGATTAATGAAGATTACTTGAAGATGCTGTTTAAAATCACTGAAAAATTAATGAAACGTTCCAAAGATATGGCCGATTTTTTACTCCTGACTTTTGCTTTTGTTTGGCAGTATTGTAAAGCAAACGTAAAACAGTGGGGTATGACTTTATGCCCGGAAAGCGCTTCCAGCAACAAGATTTTGCAAAGAATTATTATTGCTGTTTTTGAAGCCATTGATATGGTGTCTAGTAATTTATATCGTGCTTTTGAGAAATATATAGCTTCTGTTTTGCATAAAAATAATTAGAGAATATGAATTCTAAATAACTAATATAAAAAAACGAAATTAGGAGAATTATATACACAATAGTTTAGTAATAAGCAGCAATTGTTATAGAAATATATACTAGATAGCAAGAGAAATGCATAGAAATATTTATAGCATCAATGAAGTTTAAGCTTTAAAGTAGGATAATAAAGTTTCGAGATGCACACTGTTTATATCAAAATATGATTAAATAGGTATTAAATTGTCAATTTTTTTATAATTTGTATTAAATATATTATCAGAAATTATGTTGGTGGAAAACGAATTTTTATCAAGAGAATCACACTAATATCCTGCATTAAATATATTCTTAGGAAATCTTATATGTACTTGTGGACAATAAGGTTGTAATACTTTTTTTAATAGATTTCGGAGTGCAGCCTATTCGTCAAGCAAATGATTCTTACTCATGAATTCATAAATAAGAATCAATCGTTCAGTGATTAGGTTGCATTCCGAAATCCATTAAGAAAAATGTATTTATTGTAATCTTATTGTCGACGAACATACGTATATTTTTGAAACATATCTTTTGATATCAAAATGTTTTAAATAAATTAATAATATATTATATATTTTAAGAGTATTATATATGATACGGGTAATACCTATGTCTAAGCTCTAAGCTATTGTATAGGTGAACAATTTTAAATCCTTAAAAATGTACTGTCTTTGTGCCTTTATAATTTAGTCTTTTTTTATATTACGTCTAGATTATATGATATTTCGAAAGTGTTATGAAATTAATATATTTTCTTCCTTTGCATTTTATATTTTTTTTCGTTAAGATTAATATTAATTCCTAATTCTAATAAGTAAAGTTCTACAAAATATTAAATATAGTGGACGAAAAAAATTAAAAAATGTAACAAAATATTTTATTAAATATTTAACTTTGTAAAGAAATGTAAGATTTCTATCTATAAAAGATATACTTTGAACTATGTACTTTATTGTTCTGTTATAAAAATCAAAAGAAAATAAATAAGTAAAAAAATATAATCATTTCTTGACAAATTAAAATAGTTAATCTGTGATTATACATCTAAAAAGGTATAATTATTTATCGTATATATATTCATAAAGAAAAGCCCCCTATTATGAGATAGGTGCCTAATATAAGATAGCGACGTTTCTGCTAAACCAATAAACGCTATCTATTGATTCCACTATGAAATTATTGCTCTTGGATTGAAAACTATTTAGTGGACAATTCATTGTTGGATCAACGACCTACAGTCGTTGTAAAATAAAATTTTAGGATTTAGATGTCTTCAAATTTTATTGAGTCTTTAATCTTTGTTTATTATTTAATAAATAAATATTTGGCAATAAATTCTTCATGTAGTGATAGAGTAAAGTATTAATAGAGAGAAAAATACGGAATATGTTGAATTGTTCAATTGTAAAACCGTAAAACGTAATACTCGTAATATGAAACACACCTAGGGTATTTCTAATGATCTATACTTCTGTGCCTGAGTGAAAATCGATGCTAAAGTATAAATGTTATTGTACAATAATAAAAAGGATAACCGAAATGAACATTAAGGGTCTGTTTCTGCGATACTTCGTTCCAACTACCTGAAGACAAGTTCTGAGTACAATGCATCGCATGCTCAATTTGCGCGCGCACAGGCTGTACTCGTTTGTGTGTATTTTAAAAGCATTAAATAAAATTAAAAAATTTTTTTAATTGTAATGTCTTTGCGCTTTATTATCGATTTCTCGGAGTGTATCATTAAGAGCACAGTTTTTTTACTTTGCGATTTGTTAACCTTTTACATTTTTTAATTAAAAAAAAATAGATTTTGAATTAAATTTTACATAACACTATCTTAAAGCTTATTAAATTCCTTTAAAAATGACCTATTATTATTTTAAATTCTGCCGACAAACTTCTAACATTTACTTAAAATGAACTCAATATAATAGGATCTCATATAATAGAAGCCTTTCCTTTACATATGTTAATTCTTTTATTACAGTGAATTTTATTTTAAATTAGTACACATACCTATATTAAGTCTTTTTTTATAAATAAGCTTTAGTAATATACTTTTTATTGTTCTCTTTTTGTAAAGGTACCTTTTCTTTTTTGTCTTCTTTAATTTCGTTTTATTTTTCTCTTATTAATAAAGAAAAGGAAACAAAGAGAAATGTGTTTTCTTTTTCTCTTTATAAAATTTAATTATGAAATTAGCTCGTCGTTAGGGCGTGATGGGATTTCCACCCAGATGCTTTCCAGATGTCATATCATTTTTGTTTAACGTTCGATAACAAAGATGGAGCGATATATGTATATGTAATAATATACTAAATATTAAAAAAATTAATATTATAAATATAATATATATTGTGAGTATGTTATAAATATAGTGTTCTTTATATTATTGGTTGTATTCAGCAGAACGTTTATTTTGCAACTGTTGCAAGTTTTCTTCGCGCTGATTGGATTATAGTGATTATACTTTCAAATCTAGAAAAAATGATCCTATCTCAACAGGCAATCATAAAACTATTCTAAAACTGTTATGTTTCACTGAACGCAGCCGATGTTACTGGAAAGTCGAAAATTGAAAGCTGCACTCAAAACTCGAATTATCTCAGTCAGATGAAGAAATTTACAGAATTCAGGTATTTATCGTTGCTTATTGTAATATACAAATGAAAGACGTCATTAATGCCTTGATGTATCTTGATGCCTCTATATATATATATATATATATATATAAATATATATACAAATTCTTTATTAGATAATTGCTCAATATACTAGAATTATCATATTCAACGAAAGAGTTGTATTTAAAATAACGAGTTGTGTTACTATAACTCAATACGTATTCCGTATATGAAATATTTAGGAAATCTAGGAAAAGAAAATGTGTGTTATATAGCGTAGCTCTCCAGTCCTGTTGATCATGTTGCTAAATTGTGTTTTGCCCATGGTGGAATTAATTGAAAAAAATTACGCTACAAAGTTACATAATGAAATCATATGATTAAAATGTGTAAATCACGTAACGGATTGTTCCAATCATAGTATGTGATTTTTTTAAATTACATAATTTGAAAAGTCATACGAGATAATGTGTTTTTTTGTTTCTATAATTCTATTGCGTTTAATTATTTAAAATTCGATAATTCTATAAAATTATATGATACAGATGAAATATTATTTTTAATATTATGTGATTTTAAAAAATCACTCACTGATTTGGAACAATCCATTAAGAGATTTATTATTTTAATTACATAATTTTATGTAACTTTGTGACCTGATTTTTTTTCAGTAAAGCTCCCGTATATGCGCAGTAGAAAATTGAATTTGGGAAACATTTAATTGACTATTTCAGTATAACCAGCGCTATTATATACGCAAGAAAGTGCATATTGGAGAACATTGATTGGTTGTTTCCAGTATTGCTAACGTCATTATGTCCAATGTTTCATTTCATTAATTCTATCTTATAGTTTTGCCCTCTCATTAGGACATAAATCAATAAAAATATATTTATAACCGATCGTGTTAAGGTTCATATTACGGAATATAGCATAAATTAGATTAAGAGAAAAATTGTTTGATGCATTATTAGCACAATAAAACGTTGATATTCCAAGATTTTCCCGGGGAATCCCGAATTTCGTAGAGCGCTGTAACTCGATTCAATTTATCATGAGCTGTTAACAGTCAGAGATAATGATTTTTAGATTAGTACCATTATATAAGAAGTCGTGGCAAAGAGTTGTTCTAAACAAGTATAAGAAATCATAGTAATTATAAGGTAAGCTTTTATATTTAAAAAATTATATTTTATAATCGAAAAAATATTGATATCTGTAACGATTTTAATATAATGCTACTAAATATTTTTTAAAAATAATAAAATTATTAATTATTAAACTAGTATCAGAATTTATTCGAAATTCCAGATAAAAGATTCGTTAAGAACGATGTCATTTCTTTAAATTAGTAAGTGGCATATAATTTGTAATATATAATAAGTATCATCATAGATTTCAAGTAACAATAAAAAAATTTTTTTAACAATAACTTTTGAATGCCAAGCGACCGATAAATATTTTGCAATCTAAATTTATCAAGATAACAAGTATATTTTACTTTGACAGAAAGATTAAAAATATATTAATGATTATATAATTTTTTTATTTAGCGAAAAAAAGATTATATGTAACTTGTAAAGGATTTTATGATTATAATGGCTACAGAGGAAGAAGAAGCTATAGACATACTTTGGGTATGTTTAGTCTTTTAATACATTATACATAACATTATACTGAACATCCACTTCTTATATTATATACTAATTTTCTAAATATCAATTAACTACATTCAATTTACTTCCTTTATTGTTTTAAAAATATAATTTAAGACTTTTTTGAATGCAACTAGTGACAGAAGAATTGAATTGATCACTTAATAATGTTTCTCACTTAAATTGTTTGTAATAAGGCTCAATATGTTTTCTCACTTAATTTTATCAGAAATAAAATAAATTTTTGAATGTGTGTATTAAAGATACATTTATCTTTTTAGGAAGATATGAAGACTTTTGCTATACAACAACAACAATGCTTATTTGAACTACTTCCCGACTGTACAATATATAAAGATAATGAACATGAATATCTAAAACAAAATATTGGATATGCAATTTTTGGTCCACCACAGAATACTGAAAGTACGAGTACAGAAGAAAACTACTGTTATTGTAAAACAGAGAATCCAAATGATGCAGATGTAGTTGGGACAGTAGGTTATACAGAAGATGCTCAAAACACCATAAATCAAATATATGATAAAATACGTACATCTTCAGTAGAAACCGATGAGTCTGGCTCAATTTATTATGGTGTAATTTATAATATGATATTCCGTCCTAAAACAAATAATGAAAAGCCTAAGAAAAAAGAAGTAAAAGAAGAAGCAAACAAGGACGAAAAAAATTTGTTAGCCGTAATGCATGTTCCTATTTTTACAATAAGAAACAGAAAAAAATGTAAAACTACAAAGCAGACAAAACAAGAAAATACATCAACTACTGATGACGTAGAATATGAAATATCGTACATTGATCTCACTGGTAGAGTATATAAAGACTGGACTGACTATAAAGAAAATAACAATTTACCAGAGTGTACTATGGTACTCCCCAAACATGGTTTATATGAACCGGATCTAGATTATGTTCCCACAGAGGATTATTCTACAGTTTGGATAGAAATCCTGGAATCACCTTCATGTAAATGGAACGCAAAACTCTGCAAGGGAATAGATTTTGCTTCTACTGTCGTCGGATATGGCACAATTGGTTTGAGTATTGCAGCGCTGTTTACACCTCTTGCACCAGTTGTTGCTATATCAGGTAAATTGTCCTCAGTTATTGCA